GTTTGAATGGAATAGATATGGGATGGCTAGAAAGAAATTTTGAGGAAGAGGAGATCAAGCAAGTTATCTTTGCGCTAGGGTACCGCAAGACAATAGTTAAACAGTAGGGGTACCGCGTGTCATTACGCTAAACAGTAGGGATAGTTTAAGAGATTTACCCTTACAAAAATCCACATTTGTTTATAATGGTCCCCTCATGAGGCCCTTTCAATATATATAAGCCCAAAAAAATACGCTCAACAATAAGACATGTACACAAATTAACAAGTCCATAAGTAGGAAGACTCATAAAGTTAATATTAGAATCTCATTGACAACGGCAATTATTGATGCCAAAGGCTCCTCATTGTATCTTCATCTCCAGAGTATGCCCCCTGCCCCTGCACAATTGGAACAAGAAAGACCAAAAATTGGCAAAGTTATTGATGTCAATGGCCTCTCTCTCTCTCACTAAAACACATGACTGTCAAATGACAACTATTTTAGTCCCTCTCCTCACATCTCTCCCCATCCATATCCATCTCCCAGTTCTACTATCTGGTTGAGTGTTTTCAATGGAGTGAATTCAATGGGTGGGTGTTTTCATTTAAAAAAAAAATGTATCAAAGTCTAAATAGGATACCTGTGGTGGTGAGGTAACCATTCCCCTCCCCTTAGCAACCATCTTCATCCGTACCCGATTTGCCTACAATGAACATAAAACAAAATGGGTTGCTACAGGGTATCAAACAAACAAATAAAATGTGTTATATGGTGTTATACATAATACTTGATGTGGGATATTTGGTGGTCCAGATGATTCCATTGAAGTACTACCCCCACTCACCCAACAATCATTGGTGCTTGGCTGGCTTCTCTGCTATAGAGGTGAGGGTGGTAATATTACCCCACCAATTGCCACATCCCTCCCCATACACATTCCCCTTCCATAATGTTGACCTCCACCACCTGTGAGGGAGGATAGTACTGTTGAGAAGGTCCTAGATAAACTTGTTCTGAAGAAGCTTGTGAAGGAAATTGCTGTGCTTGACACATACACAAACCAATATCTCCACCATATGACACATGGTGAAATGTCTTAGATGCCATTTGATAACTGATTGCTGGCAAGTTGTTTCTAGAGTGCCCCACTTGCATTATAAACAACATCAACTAGTTTAGTTGACTGCCTAAAAGGATTAAACCACCACATGTAAAGTTATTTGTAGTTTGTAGTTTGGACTAACTTTTGTTGTATTAATTTATCTATGAAATGGATTACTTGTGGTGTATTGACATTTTGTTGATGAGTGCTTCTACCCTGGCCCTTGCATCTCTTGCGATTGTGATCTTCAGCCCCACAAAGTGTTCATCTCATCTTCTTACAGTTCCTTGACACATGTACCTCATGTGTAAATTCATCAGGACCCTTCCTCCTAGCCTTCTTTGGCCTACCAAGTTGCTTTCTAAGAGGTGGTGGTTTGGTAGTAATACATTATGTTCTTGGCCATTGAGATACGTCGAGCACTAGTAGCACATAATGACTCTATCCCTTTAGGCATCTCTCATTGGTATACAATGGATCAACATAATCATATATGTTGCCTTATTGTGATTGAATGCACGAGATTGCATGACAACATGGTACTTCGTTAGTGCCAAGGGCCTACAAGAACAAGTCTTAGCATGCAAATTAACCACCGCCCTTCTTCAGGAATGCTCAACTTCAAAATTCCCATTACTAGTATAAACAGAGAAGCAATTCCTGGCATGTCCTTGAACAATATCCAACTTCTTCTAGACATTAGGACATATTGGCCCCCTATCCCTTCTAAGCTTTTCTTGTCTTGTCTGAATCATTTTCATCATTTGCCTTCGAATGGTATCCGCTAGAATGATTATTGGCTTGTCTTTGCAGTCTAGAATCCACTTGTTGAATGACTCTAAAAAATTATTGCAGATATCATCACTTCTAGTCCTAGGAACAAATGAATACTTGGACCATAGATTAGAAGGCATAGCCTTTAACCACTCATATGCATCCTTGTTTAGGCTTTTCGACTTGTCCATATGCCACTGGAACTTAGGGATAGTGTATGCCATTACAGCTCCCCAAAGATAGTCCGTTAGGTCCTTTCCTTTGAAATGGTCCTTGAAGTTGGCATACATATTCCTAACATAGAACCCATAATCAGCCCTTGACATTAACGTTTGAAAACATTCCACCAGCCCCTACATGGAAACGAGCATTAAGTTAATAGTTGATAGCATGTAATAAATGCAAATCACTACAAGTAGCAAATATGTAAGATTCCATTTACCTTTTACCTAACAGATATGTAAGTCCAACCACACTCTTCTGGACTTCCAATGCAATCATTTAACAACCTTAAGAACCAGATCCATGCATGGGGTTCCTTCAAGTGACACCCATCAAGCCCTATTATAGGTTGACATCCATCTCTAAAACCACTCCTCATAGCAGCTAAACAAACAAAAAGTCTCTGAAACTCTCTTGTACAATTGTCCTGTACAATTCTTACAAAACTCGATCTTTATCACACTGTCGGGATTCGTTTGTAAGATGGCTTCACAATAGTCCCTCAACCTACCATATTATTCAGCATGAACACCTTCAATATCAACAACTGCCCTCTACTTTGCATGATAAGCCCTTGACCTAGAAACTTCAACTCTGAATTCTCAGAGGATTTCATTTTGTAGTGCACTAGCCTTCCAATCAGGTTCATCCCTAAATTGGTCCTTGTACTTGTCTGCCAACCATGTAGAAGTCACTCTTGTATTTGCATACACATGTGCACATGTATGCTCACCCCTATAAGACTTTATTTGGAATGCCTCTATTTTGCAACCAAGAAGCATGAACTCACCAATCACACTTCTCATTCTTACAAAGTTGTAACCCTGGTCCCCTCGTTCTTGACATACTTAAAGTCAAAACCATTCAGAATAGCATAATTAACTAGTGCCTTCCAGAAGGTTGTTGGATTGGAGAATACCATACCCACAACCAACTATGGGTTATCCATCTGTTTCTCCAAGAAAGATTCTTATCTGGGCCTACCTTCTTCATGAGACCCATACAAACTCTCTAAGTCAACTGGCTGCTCATAGTTAGATAGTATGTCTGACCCAACAACAACATCATCAACGGGTTGTAGATCTCCTGACATCACCACTAGCCTCATTACATTCACTCTCAACATTATCTTCATGATCACTTTCCGGCTCATAATCAGGGTCCTCTTCCACATTAGACCCATAATCACCTTTAGACTTATTGCCAAAATCAGCACCATAATTCAGATCATCTAGATTACCAAGTTCATTTGGGGATAGATCATGACATATTGATGATGGTTGTGGAAAGTCATGATTTGCATGCAAATCATGTGACCCCATAGCTTGTGACATATTCGTGTCTGTACTCTCACATCCAGTAACATAAATATTGATGTGTCTGTGCCTCTCATGCACTTTGCACATCTCCACTACATCAGCAACAAATTTCAACCATACTAGCCCATCATCCAAGTTTGCGTTGGACTTCTTATATAACAAGTCACCTATTTTATTGTATCCAAGATCTTTTATCAATAGTTGTATCTCAATGAATGATAAGAGGTCACCATCAACATTGTGGTTCACAAACACATCACCACCAGTATAAATCATTGGTGGCATATTCATAAAGAACCCACCATGATGTATGTTGATGGTGTATATCGTACATGACATCTAAACCAAATAGCAAATAAATCTAGCAATGTTAGGACCATATCCAAAATTCAGATCACTTGGAACTTAAATAAAGCATTGTCCAAATTAATAACATTCATTTCACAATGTTCAAACTTTAATAAAGTATTGGCCAACTTAATAGATTTCACATTGAATTCACATATATCCAAACTTTAATAGAGATAGATAAAGAGAATGAGAGAGAGAGAGAGAGAGAGAGAGAGAGAGAAGTTATAGTAGATATAAGAGAGAAATAATAACATGAAAAAAACAATATTATCCCTATTAACCACTCCTAACAATTCTAACACATTATAAACATAATATATATATATATATATATATTATGTTTATAATGTGTTAGAATTGTTATATATATATATATATATATAAAATATTGTGGATCAAGTTAGAAATGCTCACCCTTGACAACCAATGTAATTGGATATATGTTGGTGGTTTAAACTATGAAGACAATGTAAAAAAATCGTCATTAAGAGGTTTGGATGAATATTAAATAGAAATCCGTTGACTAATACCTAAAAGATAATTATTCTCATAGTGTTTGTTCATTTGACAATCATTATTCAAACTTGTCTATTCATGGTCTTAAGTCGCTTAAGTATAAAAATAAAGGCTTTGCTTTTATCTATATAAGGAGCATTATTCAAAGAGAATGATCTATTAACATTTATATGAATTGATTAGTTAACACATATTCATGAATAAATATAATATTATATAAAATATTTATTATATATTATATTATTATAAATATAATATTATTTATTAGTGGTCCACATTATTAAGACATTATAAAAAATATTAAGAAAATTAAATATTGATACGGCCAAAATCAATTGCCAATCAAAATACACCAAGTGACAATAAGTTGGGGGAAATATTGTTAATTGACTAAGTTTACTTAAGGTTCGTTGGCTTGGCCAAACTTACCTAATCTTGTCAAACTGACTTGGTACCTGCTTATAACATGCACAAGCATATATGAACATCCATATAAATATATGTGATCAGGCTTACATATTTTCCATTCTATCTTTTATTTTTTAACACACACTTTTACTGGCATTACTCTATCTTTTCAACACGCACTTTTAATTTTTACACCAATGTTATCAACTGTATCTCTTGTTTCATTCCTCTTCTCAAACTCAAACTCTCGAAGCATTAGTTATCTTAAAAAACTCAGTGTTGTATATCATTAACTTGCATTCTTTTCCCACACGCCCATTTACAAGAATAAGTAGCAGACAACACATTGGTGGTGATATGGGGGTTGGGGAAGAGACGGGTAACCACTAAACTAGTTTTGACTTGTCGCTATTTGGTGCGAGCTTGAAGGAAAATTCATTTGTGTTCAAACGCAGACGATCTGTCCCCGTGGTAGCCCTATACAACGGAAGCCCTTCAGACGTTGGCATTCATGGAGGAGAGGATTGGTTAATGACGTTTGAGTCGTGGCAACAACATTTTGTGTTCTCTTCTTCTGCACTTTGGATTGTAGACTTTGGTAGGAATTTCTAAAACCGTGATATGTCTTCGTTGGATCGAGATAAAGCTCTTGGAAATAATCGGCGTGAAGATGTCAGCTGGCTTTTTTCCCTATCCGGTTCTGAACTTGTAAGTGAAAATTCTATTTCCTGCATTTTTGAATTAATCAATACATTATTCATTTCTTTGTTGTAATTTTGCTCTGTTGTTTCTATCTTGAAAACAGATGTAATAATTGGGCTTATAGTTTTCTAAATATGCACTTGAGGATGGTAGGATCGAATTAATTTATCTTGCCTAGAGAATGACGAACCCGAACTTTCCCCAACATGAGTCTGCTCATGAGTTGCCAAGTAGAACCAAACCGAATACTCGAAAGGGGATGTACACGATGAAGTATATATGTTACCGCCTCCAAGATTCTGTTATTTAGGTAATTAGGGTAAAGTTTGTTGACTAAGAAAATTGATTTATGGATCGGTGTAGTTGCCTAGGGCCTGGTTTGATAAGCATGGAAGAGCAGTGTAACATTTTGTCTTTGTCCAATCTCACCGACAACAATCCAATTGAGATTGATAAGTTGAAGAAGTTCATGGCAATGGAATTTGAAATTAAAGATCTTGGCCATCTCAAATATTTCTTGGGCATAGAAGTTAGTCAATTGAAGAAGGGTACCTTCACCTCATAATGCAAGCATGTGTTAGACCCTTTGAAGGATATTAGCAAAACAGGGGTCAAACCAGTTTCCATGCCTATTGATCAAAATAATAGGATAAGTGCAGGCAATAGTGCATTATTGAAGGATAAGGAGCAATATCAAAGGCTGGTTGGGCACTTATTTATGTACACCATACATGACCAAATATTTCATATGTAATTAGTGTGATTAGCTAATATATGCATCAGCCTAGAGTATCCCATCTTGAAGTGGTTGAGAGGATCCTTAATTGTATCTCAAGGGAGCTCTAGGAAAAGGAATCTTATTTACTAATCATGGTCATTCAAAATTAATAATCCCACATTGATGTAATCTTCAAGTTGATATTAATAAAATCTACTTATACTGATAAAAAAATCAGTCATTTGAAATTGAAAGCATTTAGTGATGTAGATTGGGCAGGATCCTAGATGACAGGTCTTCTACTTTTGGCTATTGCACATTTGTCAGAGGCAATCTTGGTTCTTGGGGAAACAAGATGAATTTAGTTGTGGTTAGGTTAAGCGTTGAAGCATAATATAGGTCAATGGTTCCTGGAGTGTCAAAACTACTGTGGTTAAAGGTTCTATTAAAAGATTCAGGAGTTGCATTTGAGCAGCTTGTGGTGTGATTATATTGTTATAGTCACACAGCCATGAACATTACTCACAATCCATTACAACGTGGTGGAGAAAACATGTTGAAGTCAATTAATATTTCATATGTGAGAAGGTGGTATTTGGTGAAGTTTGTTTGTTCTTTTTGTGATTTGAAGATCAATTAGCAGATGTTCTCACAAAGGGGTTACCTGGTTCAACATTTACTCTAAGCTCGAGGGGGGAGTGTAGGAAGAATGGTTTAGATTAATGGGTTAGGGTTTCACCACATCCCAAACAAAGGACACACACACGCATGAGGAGAGAGGCAATTGTTTGGCCTCCTTTTCTGTAGCACATCACAAGTGTTTACCTTCCCTAGGAACACTTCCCAACAGAAAGCTTGTACTTTTGAAGGGATCGGTTTAGACCATATTTCTTTCTCTGGGAAGTTCACTCCCATAGGATCAATGTGAGTGAGCAAACCAAAGAAAGATGCACAGGAAAATAAACCATCAGAAGTTGGGGACCAAACTCTACAATCAGCTATAGATTGGTCCATGAAGATCCTCTCAAGTGTTGAAATCAAAAGCACTAGAGACTCACACTCATTTTCCCTCAACTCTCTTCTGAAACCAAAATCTCAAGAGAATCCTGAATCTAAAAGCACACCAAACCTAGCAATAGGTTTGTTTTTATGGTTTTACAAGGAGTAGAGGTCTAGGAATTTGACCATAAGAGGCACATCCCCAACCCAAAGGTTTTCCCAAAATAAAACTTTGTTGCCACAACCAACATCAAACCTGATAAATTGAAGAAAGGTTGGATATACCTTAAAGATTGCCTTTTAGGGAGAAAATGGAGCTGCATTGGAGGCTAGTTTTGCATCCTAGCCATTAACTGCTTCACCATGAATGCTTTTAATGACCCTATGCCACAATTTCTCTTCTTCACAAGGAAATCTCCATAGCCATTTCCCTAGAAGGGCCTTGTTTTTCTTTAATAGGTTCCCTATACCTAACCCACCCTGCTCCTTAGGGTAACAAACTTGCTCGCACTTCACTAAATGATCTTTCTTTTCATCACCTGGTTCCCACAAAAAGTCCCTCATAATCTTCTCCAACTTCCTAACTATTTTCACCAGGATCTTAAAGGTAGAGAGGAAATAAGTGGGTAGGTTTGCTAAGGTTGATTTTATCAAGGTGATTCTTCCCCCAAAGGATATATAATTTCTCTTCCACATTGCCAACTTCTTTGTGAACCTCTCTACCACCGATATCTAGAAGCTTTCAACTTTCAGATTCCCACCCAAGGGCATACCTCAGTATTCCAGAGGCCATTTTTTCACTTCACAGTCTAGCAGATTTTCCATGGCTTAGATGCCCTTCCCCCCCCCTTCGATGTTGATTCCAGCTACATAGCTTTTTCCCCAATTGGCTTTCAGTTTGGAGGCCTGTTGAAATTCACCCACCAATCTTTTCAAATTCCTTAAAATGGATTCATCACAACTTTCACAGAAAATGATTATATTGTCAGCAAATTGCAAATGAGACACCACCACTTCTGATCTACCCATCCTCCAACCTTTAAACTGGTTTTCTTGGTCAGCTTTGGTGATTTGTCTACTCAAAACCTCAGCCACAAAGGTGAATAAGAATGGGGATAAGGGATCACCCTGTCTTAGTCCTCTTTTAGCCTAGAAGAAGTCCTTTGCTACCCCATTCATCAGAATAGAAAAATGTGCTGAGCTAATACATTCTTTAATCCACATCCTCCATCTTTCACCTAACCCCATCTTTTCCATTAAATTCAACAGGAAGTACCAATCCCCCATATCATAAGCTTTTTCTAGGTCCGCTTTACATATCAAACCTTTGCCACCTTGTTTTCTCTTAGTTGCCACACACTCATTTGCCACTAAGATTTGATCCACATATTGTCTCCCTTCTACAAAAGCTCCTTGGTTTTGAGAGATAACATAGGGCAATACAGTCTTCAACCTACCAGCCAGGACTTTAGCAATGATTTTATACAAGCTACCCACAAGACTTATCGATCTGTAATCCTTAGGGTTTTTGGCCTCCTTTTTTGGTACTAAAGCAATAGAAGTTGCATTTGCTCCAGGTGATAACTTCCCTTCTTGATAGAACTCCACAAATGCATCCATTAATTCATCTTTCAAGATTTCTCAACAATCCTGATAGAAAGCCATTGAAAATCCATCCGGCCTTGGAGCTTTAGATCTATCAATCGAGAATATTGATTCATGTATCTCTTCAATGGTTAAAGCTCTTTCTAAGAGGTTAACTTCAGATTCTAGTACTTTGTTCCATTGTAAATCTCCCAATTCTGTAATGTTTTCATTAGAGGATCCAAGGATTGACTTAAAATGATCCCCGAAACACCTTTCAATTTCCTCTTTTGCATTTACTACTCTTCCCTCCACCTTTATACTGGAAATTTGGTTTTTCTGTCTTCTCCCGTGTGCTAGGGAGTGAAAAATCTGGTATTACCATCCCCCTCTAGAAGCCATTTACATCTAGATTTTTGCCTCCAAGAAATATCTTCTTTTCTTAGGATCTCTTCCAATTGCACTTTTAAGTTTTGTCTTTCTACTTTATCCTCCATCCCGCACTATTTCCAAGCCTCCTTTTGGTCAACTTTCTCTATTTTCCTGGCTAATTCCTCCTTTATGATCTCAAGTTTTCCAAATTCCTCTTTGTTCCACTCCTTGACCTTTTCCTTCGATCTTTTCAGTTTCTTGGAGAACCTCACAACTTTATCTCTAACCCTTATCCCACCTTCTGACCACCATTCTTTTACCTTTTGCAAAAAATTTGGAACTTCTAGCCACATAAAAGTGTGGAGCCCCCAATAAGATTTTCTTGGTAGAGGCTTAAGGGGCAATGATCAGATGTCACTCTAGGCAGGGCTTTTACTGTCAATGTTCCCCACAACTCTTCCCAATCAATGGAGAAAAGGAATCTGTCCAGCTTTGAGCACACTTGATTTTCTTGAAGATTTGACTAGGTGAAAGAGGCTTGTAACAAGGTAGGTTCTTTTAGTTCTAGGGACTCATTGTCTAATTCTAGTTGTTAGGGACTGATTGGGGTTGTTTGTCTCATTTGTATATCTTATTACATTGAAATCCCCACCCAAACACCACGGACCCTCGCAAATGCCCCTGACTGCAACTAGTTCTTCCCAGAATGTATTCCTCTCTCTATATGAATTCAACCCATACACATTAGTCAACACCCACTCCCTTCCATCACTCATCCTCTTGGATTTTATTGATACTTAGTATTGTCTTATCAATTCCTCCTGATAGTCAACTTCCTGCTTCTTCCACATTGTAAGGATCCCACCCAAGGCACCCCATGACGGGGCAAAGGACCAACTTAGACCCTTGCTACTCCAGATAATTCTCATCCACCTTCTGTCCAAATTCGAAACCTTTGTCTCCTGTGTCATGACTATAACCGGTCTCTCTTTTCTTATCACATTCCTGATGATTCTTCTTTTCTTTGCACTTCCTAAACCTCTTACATTCCAACAAAGAACCTTTATTCCACTCTTTTTTTTTTTCTCGACCCAATCTCATTTCCAATTCCTATTCTCATCGTTTCTTCTCCCTTTTCCTATTTACAGACTTCTCACAGGACACACCACAAGCTAGCCTTTTCACCTCATTCATTCTTCTCTTTCTTTTTTTGTCATCTTCTGCCTCCTTTCTAAGATAGACCTTCCCTTTGGCGAACTTCCTTTTGGCTTCTTTTTGTTCCTTTTCTTTTACTTTGGGTGTCTCCCTACAGCCATCTTCTCCCTCATCTAACCCACAAACTCCTTTTCCTTCTCTTGAGTGCCTGCAACAACTTCATTTACCCCAACATTCTTCTCCAACTCCATCACATAAATCAATTTCACAAGTTGTTCCTCCTCTTTGTCTTTTTCTCCTCCCTCACCTTTTTTTGCTACCGCACATGGGTCATTATCCGCCACCGGTGGAGTTTCAACAGCTGGAACTGCAAAATCCAAAGGCTGAAGATTACTACAAGGATCAATATCAAATAAGTTTTGATAGTAAAGTGGGGGCGAAGAAAGAACTGGATTGAGAGGAAGGGGGGGGGAAGAAACTCCCTGATCTTGAACCTGGTTTTCACCGATTACTCCAAAGACAAACCCTGATGGTTCGGGTTCGGGTACGGTGTCCACCTATGCAGCTTGGGGGAGCTGTTCCTCAAGTGATTCCATGGTCGGTTTGCATTGGATACCCATCTCCACAAAGCTGCTATCCTGTCTTTGCTCTTGATTTATATCTATTTTCTTCTCTCTGAGAATCACCTGTAGGCCTCCCACTTTCTGCGGTAGAGTTACCAACCCCCGAATCGTGTATCTCCAGAATCTCCATACCAGCATCTTCGATGAAGAGCAGTTCAGTTCCGGGAGCTTCAAAATCTGTGAAGTTACAGGCCTTTGTCGAGTTTATGCTAAATGTTACTGCTTCTGTTACCTTCATTTGGTAATCCACAAGGAAGAGATTGAAGATATTTTTTTTGATGAATGATAGAGATTTATTAGAGCAGAGATAAATATAACATGATTACAAAGTACATCCAGTGGATGGGTGACATGCAAGCCCCAGCCAGAAAACAGATTACAACTGAGCCCAAAATAATTCAGACTTATGTTACCCCCCATTTTGCAAAAAAAAAATCAGCCATCCTGTTAACTGAGCGCCTTTCCCATTGGACTGAAATTGTCATATCTCTGACCAGCCACTTAAATCTTTTCATATATTCTTTTTATTTCCAAATTACAGTTTCAGGTTACTTCAACCACCCTAATACCAGTTTAGAGTCACCTTCAACTAACAGTCTGTCATAATTTAATTCTCTAGCAACCTGTATTCCTTGTAAGACAGTTTGGAACTCTACAAAAACTGAATGCCCTACTCCAACTGGACCTGAAAAAACAACAACATGACCTTCAGTGTTTCTAAAAATTCCCCCTATACCAGCCAGCATGGGTTCCCTAGACTGCTGCTATCAAAATTCAGTTTGATGAATCCTTCACCCAGTGGTTTCCAACCCACAACAGGTTTGACGCCTGTAGTAGACTTTTAGCTGCAGCTTCCAAATTTCTCCACATATCATCAAAGGAGAAATTAGAAAATAATTTTAGAGACTTGTCCCACATTATAGCTCTATATAATCTGCATTCCAGTACTTCTTTCTTTATCGTTCAACACTCTACCATTTCTTTCCTCCCACAACGTCCAAACCAATGCAGCCCTGATACATCTCCACAAAATTTTACCCCTTCTCTTTGGCCAACTGAAAGTCATTGTTTTAAGGAGACTTCCAATCTGAATAGGGAAGCTCCACCTGTGACCAAGAAGTTCAAAAAGCTTTTCCCAAAGACTAGCAACAAAAGGGTAGGATATCAAAAGATGGTAACAGTTTTCTCCACTTGTTTTACACAGGGTACACCAATTAGGCGACAAACACATAAAAGGTCTTCTTATTTGCAAAACACCCAACGTGTTTATTTTTCCATGGACAACTTTCCACCAAAAATCACCATCCTTGGGAGGAATAGGTTTAGCCCATGTTTCATCAGCAAGGCAAAGAGGAGAATTTGGGTCTAAACACAAGAAAACCTAGGAGGCACTTGAAAAGAGACCTTTGGGGTGCGGAATCCAAATCCAACCATCAGACTTAGAAAAATCTAGGAAAACAGAGTCAAGAACTTGTGACAATGAGGTTGCCCTTTCTGATTCAAGATCCCTTAAATTTCTTCTAAAACCTAAATTCCAGATTAATCCAGTCAACTTGGAGAGGGAAACAAAGTGAGAAACAAGTCTTTTTAAACCAAGAAAGAGAATACAACAAAGGGAATGGATCTTTAATGGTTGAATTACCAAGCCAAAAGTCCTCCCAAGAAAAAACCTTATCTCCAGAGCAAACATCATACCTGATTTGGCTTAGGAACTAAGGAAGCCCTCCACAAATGGATTTCCAAGGAGAAGCCAAAGTAGCCCTCGAAGATACCCCGACATCCCAACCATTGCCTGCAAAACCATGGATACTATCAATCGCCTCTTGCCACAGTCTCCCCCTCTTCAGAGTCCATCTCCAAAGCCATTTACCTAGTAAAGAGGAATTCTTCTTGTTTAAGTTTTCTATGCCTAAACCCCCTTGATCTTTACTTTTGTACACTACATCCCATTTGATCAAGTGATCCTTTTTGCCTACCCCTGGCTTTCACAAGAAATCTCTCATCAACTTTTCTAGCTTTATCACTTCCCTTTGTGGCATTCTAAACACCGATAGATAATAGACTGACAACTTTGCTAATGTGGACTTTATCAGTGTCATTCTACCTCCCATCAAAATATAATTTCTCTTCCAAGCAGCCAATCTCTTAGATCACCTTTCCACAACTGGGTTCCAAAACCTGCTTTCTTTCATATTGTCTCCTAGTGGCATCCCAAGGTATTTCAAAGGCCAACTAGTTACCAGGCAACCTAAAGACTTCGCTACTGAACTAGCTCCTCCTGCTCCAAATTTAACCTTGCCACACAACTCTTCTCAAAATTAATTTTCAACTTAGAAATTGGTTTGAACAACTTAATCACCTCTTTCAACTGCCTTGCCTTTAATGGATCCCCACCCTTATAGAAGATAATTGTATTGTCTGCAAACTGTTAATGTGTCACCACTGTATTAAGCTTGCCTACTCTCCACCCTTTAAAGAGATCCATCATATCTACTCTTAGGAGTCTACTAAACACATCCACTATTAGTGTAAAAAGGAAGGGGGCTGGGGATCCCCTTGTCTTAATCCCCCAGTAGCTGGGAAGAAATCCCATAACCATAGCATTTCAATACTTCTAACAGAAAAATCCAGTACACCATGTCATAGGCCTTCTCCAAGTCTACCATGTCATAGGATGGGCGAAACTGAGGGGCGCATCTAGAGTCTTACATAATAGGAGACTATAACTTTTTTTTTTGATCAACAACACAGAAATGATTTCATTAATAAAAAATAGGTATGAGTACAACAAGAGGTTGCGAAAAAAGTAGAAAAGCACAGCTATGGAAAAGCTGATCCCACCCAGATATTACAATTGAGCCCAATACAATTGAGTCTCGTGTACCCTTGCTTAGCTAGACCATATGCCAAGCTATTGGCAGTTTTTCTCACCCACTTAACTCTGATAGTGAAGTCCTTTACTAACCATTTAAAACACCTGAAGTCATTCCTTAGGTGCCATGGCACCTCCTCTCCTTCCTTCAGCCATTTTACAACAGTTCTCGAATCACCCTCAATGACTAGGTTATTGAATGCTAACTCCTTTGCCTTCTTGACCCTGTGTACTGCAGCTAACAGTTCTGCTCTTGCCACATCACTTTGTTCAACAAGCCCTGAGTATAAGGCTGTGATGTTTCCTTCCTCATCCCTAATTATCCCCCCCCCTCTCCCATGCCTCTGAGGGACCCAGGTTACCCAAGCAACTCTCATCAAAATTCAGTTTCTTCCAGCTGCATAATGGGCCAATTGTGGGGTGACCACATAATAGGAGACTATAACTTAGGGTAAACGGAAAATTTTATAAAATAGTTAGAAGGCTAGCAATGTTGTATGGAGTAGAATGTTGGGTAGAAGAAGTGCCCAAAATATCAGTGTGGCAGATGTGCAAATTTTGAGATGGATGGGATGGATAACTAAAAGGGATAGGATAAAAAATTAACCTATTTGAAGGTCCGGAGTAACCCCAATAGGTGATAAAGTGAGGAAAAACTAGACAGATGATTTGGGAATGTATAGAGAAGACCCATCCACTACAGTGCCAGTAAGAAGAAATTATCTGTTACAAGTTGAAGGAACTAGAGCTAGGGGCAGACCAAAAAGGAAATGGGTTGAAGTAACGAGAAATGATTTGGGGCCCATAGTTTAGCAATAGGTATGGCAGAATAGGATTCATGTTGCCAGCTCCATATAGTTGAGACAAGTCTTTGATGATGATGATGATGATTTACTTATTTTCATTTTTCTGCCAATTCTACAATGGGCTTTTGCAGAAGATGGTGCAAGTAGATTTACTATTTGTCAGCTTGGTCTTCCTATGTGGTGTCTTTTGTTGCTTCGGATTGGCCTTTTAACTTTCCTATTTGGGATTTCAAGCTTCAGCAACAATCATGGATTAAATTAAAAAATGAAAAAAAGATCCTCAGATTCAACTGAAGAACTCTAACTCTTTCCTTTTGAGCTCAACTGGAAAAGTTCCCAGTATGGCATATTAATTACCTGATAATCTCTTTTAGATCCTGGTTGTAGTAGGACTCCATATAAATTATAAACAACTTATGTTTCTATAGAAATATTTGTTCTATTTTTAAGGAAGATTTGTACAATGACCACACATCAGTTTATGATTATTCACATATTCAACCATTAAAAATAAGGTAAACATATTGCAGGATATGCTGGTTAGCTTAAAGAAGCTGGTTATTCAGCGTGCGAAAGTTATTGGTCATGATGCCCTAGCCAGTAAATTTGATCTGAAGATGCTTCGGGTTATTGGTATATTCTATTTTCTCTGTCTTAATCGCAGATTTATATGATTTTTTAACCTAAAATGCTTTTTTTCATGTAAAACTATTTTTTACTTGTTCATTTCTCCAATATAATCTAGTTTCTTTTTCCTTTTCCTGCATGATATGATTTGTTGATTTTTGCATGGTATATCCTCTAGACACGTTTTCTTTGGTGAATTGGTCATTATCTAGATATTGAATTATGTAGAACAGCTCTGAAAATAATCTTATTCTTGTTTGAATTTAGGTTGCAATTGTTGTTCATGATACTGTGTCAATATCAGAAGATACTGGGTATTACCCAAGCCAGACATGTATCAACCAAGTATGGATCTGCATCTATCACAGTATCACTCGACTTACTATTTGAACCGGACAAAATGGGCTATGAAATGGACATTGTAGTTCACATTATCATCTAAGTTGCAAAATTTCTCCTGATTACAACATATGATTTAGATGGGTTTTTCTCTTAAAAATCATTAAAAAGAAAAAGAAGGAAAATACACTCTGGTGATGAGACATCACCAAAAACTCAAAATACCTAACAACAAACCATTCCCATGGAAAAACAACTAAGCAATGACCAAAGAAAACCCATTCCAGCCTTTCCTGCTTCCAAGAGGACAACAACAAAATGCATTTACAACAATCAGAACATGATAAGCATATGCAAACACCATGCATGTAATGGAAATATGGAATATAGACAATATTAATCTGCAGCAATCTCAGCCCCTGAATCTTCTTCAACAAGCACACCAAAGGGTATCAGTGTCTGGGCATCTGGACTGATTTCCTTCCAACTCCAGAATTCTTGCAGCTACTTCTTTATTATGTAAAATGAGCAGGAACAGATAGGGGTGACCATTTGGTTTATTTGGATAAAAACCGAACTGAATAAACTGAAACCAAATTATGTAATGCCAAAATAACTGAACCAAATTTCATTATATATTGAATAATATATATATATATATATATATATATATATATATCATATATATTAATATATTATATAATACTAGTAAATATGCATGTGTGTTGCATGTGGCAATTTCAGATAACATTAATAATTTCAGTATCCTTATTCCATTTAAAAAAGGATAAGTAATCAAAGCATGGTGCTCTAGTGGATTTAGTTTTTACATTTCATTTTCCATGTTAATAAAGTACTTATTTATCATATTATTTTTATTTAATATGACAAATATATAATATTAGAGATGTACACAAATTTTATAGACATTTTTTTGTGTTTCCTATGTTTATTTCTATATATTTTGAGTTTTTATTATATAATTATGACATCATATGCTGGCCTATTTGACTTGAAAAAAAAATCTCATTTTTGGGTAACTTTAAAATTTTTATTCCATTTACATAATTAATTCTAAAAATGATTCTTGTTTGTCACACTTATTTTTGTTTGATATGATAAGTTTATAATGTCTTAAATATGTCAAAATTTTCTATAACTTTTATTTATTTTTGCATTTATATCTATTTTTTAATTTTTATTATTTAACTAAGGCATCATTGTTTAATCCATTTACCCAAATGATTGAACCATTATGGTGCAAGTCTAGTAGGTTGGGCTGAATTTAAGCTTAACCCAAGCTAAACCCTATGCATTGGACCTAAGGCTAAAGTCAAACCAGATGTGTCCAACTTGGGCCAAACCTGCATTGGAATTTGATACACCTGGGTTAATTTTGGATATGGTTTTGTTTTGATACACCAAGGTTAGTTTTGAATTCCCCTACAGCTACCATCAAAGTTGAGTTTGATGATCCTTTGGTTAGGGGAGTCTAGATTGTGCAAGCCCGATTATTCAGTTGGGTGAGTTCATTTATGTGATTTACATATTCTGTATGTTGGGTGATTGGAAATGATCTAAGACTAGTTATGTCCAACAAGAAAGATGCACCCTCAAGCAAGAGGAGTGTGTCAAACTGCTATGTTCAAGACAGTAGGAATCCTAGTTGGACTAGGACCTTGGTGGATAGTTAGACCAGGATTCTTGTATAAGTCATTGGGTAATATCAGGATGAGTATTGGAACACTTTTGGTTGAACTGGGACTCCTGATGAAGAATACTAATTGCACTTGGACAAGTCTCCTAGGGTTGTCCTAGAGTATCCTAATTAGACTAGGATCTCAGTACACTCGGGTGGGCATTTGCAGTATTTTGCTTTTAAAGAGTTTTAAAAGGTTACTTATTCATATGTATAGATAATTATTTTGGAAAATGCTTTGAAAATTGATTTTTAGACGTCTCAGTAGATATAGAACTCTTGGATAAATCCCATAGGATGGTGATTAGTTTAGACATAACAATTCCTAGTGGTATCCTAATCTGATTCTAACACTATTGTGTAGGAGGACAACTAACTTTTCACTCTGCATGAAAGGGCCCTAGTGATCATTTCCATGACCTTAAGGATATAACTATAAATGTATTGTTGGGCCTCTCTGCAATTTTAGGACGTCTTTCTGATCCCAACCACTGATTAGAGAGAATGGAATGGTGATTCCAATATAGGAGCAAAGAGGTAGGATCTCTCTTTCTTAAACCCTAATCATTAGGAGATGAAAACCCTAACGGATTTCACACCCCCTTATTGGCATCACAGGCTCTCTATATAACAATTTAGAGCCCTCAAGATGTGTTGTTCGACCATCTCTAGGAGAGAATCATACTAGGTTTGGAGGTTCCCAGTAGACCTAACTTTGAGTGCAAGAGTTGCATTAGTGTGCTTACTAAAAAATGGGGAGCAATGTGACTTTTCACTAGGGATTGATTGGCCTCTGGATTGTGAATGCTTGAAGATTTTTCAGACTTAATTTTCTATGTCGAATCGAACATGTGGCTAAACAAGAAAAGGTACATTTAATCATGATTTTGAAAACCGGACCTGACTGGATGGTTGGACCGGTTGACCCAGGAACTGGTCATGGGTCCTGGTTCGGATTTGGACCCCAAAACCGTCTAACTCAGGTTTGGACCAGATGGTCGGACCGTTTGACCCAGGAACAGGTGGCCAAAACAGTTCTCTTTCCAGTCTGGCTTTTAAAATCATGCATTTAATTTGATTGAACTGAAATGATCAGAAAAGCAAACTTGGGTCTTAGGTCAAATTGGTTTTATCCTTTTTGGTTTTTCCTGCCAGTAGGTAGGCTCCTAGGTGATACCTTACTTATTGTATAACTGGCTTAGCAGATGTCTAAACAAGCATTTAAAATGATAGGTTCATTGCTGTTGGCTTCGAATTTATGCCATCTATTATATCTTCCATTAGAGTAATATAAAATAATCAGTAAGGCTCTACCATATTGTACACAGATCCCTTCTTACATCCTTATTCATATTATGTCTGCATGTGTACTATTGGGTAGTTGAAGAATCCAAAGGTAAATATGACTATACCATTCTCTGTCGATATGGATTGACACTTAAATGTTTTACCAAAAAAATAGTGATTATTTTCTACATGAATTCAGATTTAGTTATTTATTGGTGTCAAGGTTTTTTAAAGAAAAATCTCCCATGTACTCCTAAATATCTTAACTTTTGGGTAGTTGAAGAATCTATAGAGAGAGATGACTATTGCCTTCTCAGTCCACATGGATTTATACTTATGCATTGCAGTAGTATATTTCTACATTAATTTTGGTGACTATATTTCTACATTAATTTTGATTTGAGTTATTTATTGGTGCTGTTAGTTGCTTTAAAAAAGAAAACTACTTTTGTACTGCTGAATATTCTAACCTTGTTGTTGCTTGAGTAGGATTTAGATTTTATGCATTGCAGTAGCTAGTATTTACCTTTGTTTTCTCTGGGCATTTGCTTAGGGTTCATTTTAATGGAATATCTCAAAGGACAATTTCAGAAATCATCAGTTGTTTCAGCCATGAATGACTCTTCAACATTTTTAGATGATTGCAATTTATCAAGGGATCTCAAGGGCAGCCCCAGCTGTATGAGTAGAGAAGAAATAGTAGGATTGGTTAATGCCATTTCAAGGAAAAGAACAAAAGAAAGGCAAGTACAAGCTGTATTTAGTTGGATCACTAAGATTTCTCTCTTTCTCTCTCTCACTCCCTTACATTGCTGAGGTGGTGTATCCATGCATTTTATACTGTTTGGTGGTGTTTAGTAATGTCTTTTTTTCATTGATGAGTTAAAAAACCATGCTGCACACAACAAATGGCAGCAGGCCTAAGTACATGAAAGCTTTTCACAACAAAGCCTCAGTATAACAAAGATAAGCAATAAGCAACTTTTACAAGATACACCGACCCTGGCCAACCCCATTTAAGAGACTCATTCCCTACCCCAGCCCTTGCCAATGAATATGCCATCATATTATGCACTTTTAGAGCCTCATTTAAATGAGATGTTCAATGTAGCACCTAGGGATTTGGCTCACCAATAGCCTGAACTCCCATGGAACTTGTTCATGTGTCTCCTGTTTGGAGGGATGGAAATCTGTTCAAATATGGCAAAACCTGTTACAGTTGCTGGCCAAATTTAAAAAAAAAAAATCCAACCCAACCCGAGAACCGGTTTCTCGGTATTTTGACATATGGAATTTTTGAATTGATCTTGCGTTGAATTGGACCAGATTTGAAACTCAAATTATTATTAATCATACCTGATATGGAGACCACAGTATGTAGCTCCCAGAGTGGTAGTTCATGCCCAATGTCAAACCCAAATAGGCCTCCAATTGAAGATGGCAGTGTCAAGAGTGAAGCCGATTCAGCAATGCCTTTGTTGCAAAATTGATCTCCAATCTGGCTTGGACTTGTTGTAGCAGTGTGAGCTTGATTGTATTTCATGTTTTTCCTAAAAATAAACAGAGGACTGATGAATTTCAGCCTCTGCCACAGTTGGTTCAAGCTAGGGTTTGTTGGCTGCAAAGGGAGAAGAGAAGAGAACAAGAAGGTGGAGGGAATAGACTGAATTGTCCCTCCTCTCTCACCCTTATGTAGAGTCCTCTTCTAATCTTATTAGGAGCTGATCCAAATCAGATTTGGATCAAGACTCATCCTTAATTAGATACGCATTATCTTCTTAAGAGAATGGGTGCTCTATGCCCAAATCCATACCACATGACAACTTTGTCATGTGATTACTTAACTAATTATATTAGTAATGGGCCTAGTAGGCCCATTTTCTTTAATAGCTCACTAACTTAGGCGCTGCAAGGCCACATAGGCGTGAGCATTGTATGGTGTGGGCACCACATAGGTCTCACACTAGCCCACATAGGTTCAACCCATCTCTGTAAAGAGATAGGCCGAACACACTGCACAAAGGCAATGAACCCCTAAGTAATCCTTGGGCCCATTACTTATGTCTAAGTAATCCTTGGGTTCAACCACCCTATGAGGCCCAAGTATGATAAACTCGTGTGAAATTAATCCCATTAGGTATTTCAGCCCTTCAATGGTCTCTTGCCCTTAAGCTTTCAGCCCGACTTCACCATTTGTTGTTCTAAAGGGATCCATTGTTATTGAATCACATTCTTTATGATTGAAGAATTTGTCACTATAGACCATCCTCTAAAAATGTCCTCAACTGAATAGTCTTTGAGTAAATCAATTTCAACTAATGTATGACCTTAATAGCTATGCAATCAATTACCTGCTCCTTGGATCTTTCAATCCCTTGAAAAATTTTATTATTCCTTTCTTCCCAAATTGACCAAAGGATAGCTGCTTTTGTGATTCTCCACATTACTCATTAAGCTTTATTGACAACACCTTAGCCACTATGTTGTACAAACTTGTAGTAAAAGACTTGTAAGCCCAAATTCATTTGTGGAGGCAACACCATTACACTTATGAACCAATTCTTTGATGATCTACCAACACTCGTGATAAAATGCCATAGTGAAAGCATCCAACCAAAGGGCCTTATCCCCATTCATTCCCATCACTGCCCTTTATTTCCTCCATGGAGAAAGGTTTGTCAAGCTCTTCAGCCAACTCCTGTGGTATTCTGGTCCATTGCACCCCTTGTGATGGTCTAGATTTAGGTGTTATTTTCTTTTTAATAGAAATTTTAGGTTTTATGTGTCTTGTACAGAACAACCTTATGCATGCCCCCAAATGTCTTTAGCAATGTCTAGTATCATGAGTTTAATGCTGATTTAGGTTTTGCAGGAATGCTGGGCTGAATGGCCTTAGTCACTTAGTTGTTACATCCTTTATTTTCATGTTAATGGGCCTCTCACTTGTGGGTCTGTCAACACTTTTATTGCATTCTTTTGTACAGCCGCCCTATTAAGGGAATCTTGGTCATTTATGTAAACACTTGAGATTTCCCATCTTTCCATCTTATGCTTTGATTTTCTTTATTTCTTGCTGTAATTTCTCTTGAATAAACTCCTGCTTGTTTTTTTCTTCTTGGTATCAAAGCAACTTTACTAATGGATACAGTGGTTTGGGAAAGAACAAAAGATTCTAAAACATATAGGAAACCGGTGGACAGAAATAGGGCTTTTGAGTTCTTGATACAACTCAACCTCAGAGTATAATATTACTGGCAAAATATTCTAGCCAAGGATGATTTAACTTTGCTGCATGCATATGCTATGGTTAGTAGTGAAGAGAGTAGGAGGTAGGTACAGATTAGGGGGCAACACCTATTGATCACTTTTCTAATGTTGGAATGAAACCTAAGGCAGTTGAGGAGAAAAAGGAGATTGTGTTTAAATATTGTAAGAAGCCATAACACACTGAAGATACTTGTTGGAAGTTAAACATGCATCTTTTTCTAGCCTGATTTAGAAATCAAGATAATGGTAAGATTGGGAATGGGAAGGGTGGGAATGCTAATGCAGCCATAGCTCTAGATAGTGAGAAGAGGTCCAATGATGAGAAAACTATAGCTAGCAATGAAGGCAAAATTGAAAATTATGGAAGGTTGATTAAAACACAATTGTAACTATTAGCTCTTTAGGCACATCAACTTCCCCTACTTTTGCACACTCAAATATTCGCGCCTCTACCAACCATGTAATTGTCTCAGATAACCATAGGATCCCTTGGATTATTAATTTTGGTGTTTTTGATCATATGACTAGTGTCTTTAACCTTTTTACTACTTACTAGTTATCTTTTGGCCGTGATAAGATTACCCTAGCTAATGGCTATCTTTCCCCTATTTCTAGCAAGGGAGACATCAAAACCTCAGATTGCCTTATCCTCATCTTTGCTCTTCATGTCCCTAAACTAAACATTAACTTTTTGTTTGTTAGTAGCGTGATTAAATATCTAAGTTGTCACATAATCTTTTTCCCTTCTTATTGTATTTTTCAAGACCTATAATCATGGAAGGTGATTGGGAGTGGCCATGAGGCAAATGGGATCTACCTTCTGAATGCTCCTAAACAAAGCCAAGGACTACCTTTGAAAATTGTTTTGGGTCTACTTCAGAATCCATTAATCACATTATGTTATGTTATTTTTGTTTAGGTCATTTGTCTTTTTCTTCATTGAGTTATTTATTCCTAAATTGTTTAAAGGAATAAGTGTGTCAAGTCTTCATTGTGAATCTTGTGAGTTCTCAAAGCATTGTAGAAACACTTATCCATTGATCAATAAAAGATCTACTTTTCTTTTTACATTGTGCACTTTGATGTGTGGAGGTTTTACCTACCTTCTATGGGTGGCTATTGATATTACATTTTATTTGTTGATTTTTCACTGTACACTTGGGATATATTTGATGCGCTTTCGTGATGAAGTCCCCAAGATTGTGAAACAGGTTCATGAATTTGTTCCCACCCAATTTGATACTTGTATCAAAATATTTTGATTAGATAATGTTAAGGAATATTTTGAGAAGAGTCTTTTTTTCTTATCTTGCAAATTTTGGGGTTATTCACCAGGGTTCCTATGTTTGTACTTCTCAACAAAATGGAGTGGCTGAATAGAAAAACTGTCATGTTGTCAAAGTGGCCAAAAATTTATTTTTTGCTTTTATGTCCTTATAAAATTTTGGATGGATGATATTATTACAGCTATGTATCTCATCTCATTACAAAGTCTTGGGTTTGAAATCTCCTTTCAGCCTTCTGTTCCTCAACACAACTTTTCTCCTTTCATCTCTGTGTCTTTCATTGTACTTGTTATGTCCATATTCCCAATTCTCAATGACACAAATCTGAATTGAAGGCACACAGATGCATATTCCCTGGGTATGCGGTATGCCTCCACACATAAGAGGTATTGTTGTTTTGATTTCGTTACTGTCACTTTCTTTTCCTCCATGGATATCACTTTCACCAAGTCTATTCCTTTCTATAGGTATTTCTTCACTGTGGAGCAGTCTGTTGAGTTGTTGATCTCCCCCTTCCAGTCCCGATTGTCTACATGTGAAGTTCCTCTTAGTGGGTCATCTTCTCGTCCTATTACCATTTCCACTCTTGCTCCTCCTCCTCCTCCTTCCTTTGTTACTCCTACTATTATTCAGAGGTGGTACACTGGTGCCAATGGTAGAAATCCAGGAATGAGCAGGCATAATTTTCAAGGCATCAAGGCAAGTCTAGGCAACAAGGGGGCACATGGCAATAGATTTAAGTAAAAACATATATCCTAAGATAGTTCCCTAGGTTCCATAACCATATTTCCTTAATAATTATCCATAATCTTCATAAGAAAAGTATAAACTTCATGTTAAAGTACAGAAAATCAACATGTGAAGTTCCTCTTGGTTGGTCATCTTCTCCTCCCATTATCATTTCCACTCCTGCTCCTGCACCTCCTATTCCTCCTTTTGTTACTTCTACTATTATTTAAAGGTGGTACACTGGTCCCGATGGCAGAAATCCAAGAATGAACAGGCATGGTTTTCAAGGTATCAAGGCAAGGCTAGGTGACAAGGGGGCACCTAGGCAATAGATTTAAGTAAAAAACATACATACTAAGATAGTTCCCTAAGTTCCATAACCATATTTCCTTAATAATTATTCATAATCTTCATAAGAAAAGTATAAATTTCATGTTAAAGTATAGAAATCAACATATTCATGAGAAGAAAAAGAAGAAAGAAAAGAAAATTCAAAAAAAATATAGGGGTTGAACTCCTACTCTTGTTATAATAAAAGAAGAAAAGAAAAGGTGGAAGAAGAAGAAAATGTGTTGATTAGACAAAATTTCAAGTTCTTCCTTCTTGGTTCAGGTTTTGAAGTCTTTGAGGGTTCAAAGCAGAATGTTTCTGTTGATTAAACCCAAAACATAAGAAAATGGAAAAAAAAAGAATTAAGGATATAAGCACAAGAAATGAACATTTTAGTTTAGTAATGTCTATTTTATAATTATAACCTCAAAAAATAAAGAAGATAAAAGTTTTTTATAACACAATATGCAAAACTACTTGGCGATCAAGTGGGACAAAGCTCTATGGGTGCCTTGTCGCCTAGGTGTCACCTTGACAACTTTGTGAAGAGGTTATTTCCCACTCCCACAATTGAGAAAACAGAAAGGGAGAAGGAATAAAAAGAAGGGTAGACAGAATTGAAACACCCNCTGGCCAACTCTATTTATTAGGTTACAATCCAAAAGACTATTTTGCCCCTAATAAGTATGGGACAGCAACACTAAGCAGGAAACAGGACTGTAACTACACAACATAAAATGAAGAAAAATAAATAAATATCCCTTTTCACATGCCCAAATACAAATAATGATGAACTCTGACACATGATGTGCACATGGCACATATATATCATTCATTGGCAGAAGGGTACTGAAGGGGATCATGTGATCATTTGTGAAAGTATAGCATGATATGTGTTGAAAAAATATAGTGGAGTTAACTGTCAAATCCCAGGAGGGTCGTGTAATTTACATTATCACTTATTTATATAAATCTTCTGGTAAAGGCACTCTATACTAACAATGTAATACTTGTTAGTCAAGAACTGGTTTTTGTAATCATCTTTGGTAGTCTTTGCATTCAAAGGACATTTTACTGTTTCAAAGTGTTTGAGACAAGTTGAAGTAATGCTAGGCCATTTTGTGTGCAGATCACATAAAGAGGAAGCTTGTAGTCAGAAAAGAAAGAAAACTAAGAGTTCATAAGCTATCTGATGCTTTAGTACTCACAGAGAGCAGAGTAGCAAGCCCGGATGGTTATCCCTTTATTTAAGACAGATTGGTGTGTTAGCGTCTTTTTATGTGCACTGGCCTACATTGGTTCTTTATTTTTTGGAGCAGAAACATCATCATGATCTAGATAGAGAAGCCTCTAGTCATTGAAACCAGTTGGGATCTCTAATTATATCCTCTCCTTCCTTGTTTATGTACCTCTTTTAACCATCTTAGGTGTTTTCTTTGTTGTATTGTTCTTAGATTATTATTACATGTACACAGAGATGAAAACTTCATAATTTCTTGACATATTACTGAATTTTGGCGTATATATGTTTATGTACATCATCATAAATTATAAATTTAAATTTTGTTGACTAGCTACATAGTTGAATTTCTATGCACAGATACATGGAACACTGTTATTTTGTTCAATTAGTGTTCTACTTTATTTATCTGATACCCTAATATATGAAGTAGTGCATATACAGGAAATGATACAAAGAGGCTCTTTTTCCTTTATGAATAATAGCACTATAAGGGGAAAAATATCCTGATTGTATCGTTTCCTATCCATAAACTTTCTTTCTTGTGGTTTTCCTTTCCTTGGTTCTTCCTTCTTCCTTTCTTCCATTTTCCCTTGTACAAAGCTACTGGATAGCACATTGATGCAGGACGTAAAGGAGTCAATATTCAAAGTTTTTGTGAGCTATTTGGGGCTCAATTCATAATAAATGGAAAGCTGTCCCAGGATCACCACTTAACTTGCGGTCTAAATTCAAGGAGAACTGCACTTTATTTTGGTGTCATTAGCTAAGTCATTAAGTTACTCAATTACCAATGTAACAAGACAAAGATTATGCTATTCGGACATTAATTAGGAAAGTTTTCTGCAATTTATAGAGTCAACTAATTTGTGACAGGATTCTCTCTATCTTTAGGTCATTTGTGCAAAAAAGTACACCAAACGTGACCTTAATTTTAGGTCTGAGGTATCTAATTGTTTTTCTTAATATTTTCATTATTTGTGATTGTGAAAGAGTTTGGAGAAGCTTAATATTGAACTATCCAATGAAGCTCCTTGTCATTTTTGTTGAGAACCAATACTTTTCTTTTTCTTTTTTTTCCTTTTTGGTTTATTGTTGAGACCATTCCCGGTACCCTTGTATGGAAAAGATCCAACGGCGCATTCTGGAATTTTATCAGTACGCATAGACGATGGAAGATTGAACTATTGAAATTTTAATGTTCAAAATTTGTTCCACACAGAAAATCTTAGCTCGCCTCGACTCAAGAAAGATTTGAGGGGAGAATTATGTGGGATTTAATGAATGTAACATTCACAATAAATTATGGGTTATTTGAGCCTGTCTATTAGGACCCTGGGTGAGAAGTCTAAGAATGACTGGCTCTGCTGTTCGCTGAAGTATGGATCTCTATTCTGCAAATAATACCCCCTCTTAAGAAGTCTCCCAGGTATAAGCATGGTTTCTAAACCGTCATTGACCTAGACGGTCAGACGGTTTTGCCTGGAAACCGTTTAAACAATTGGTTTTGTTTCACCTCTGATTCGGTCTTCTGTCAAAACTATTGATTTGGTCAATGGCCCATTAACTCAGGAGGGCAAATCATCAATTCATTCGACCTAAACAACAATTTTTAAATACTTTTTATTTTTTAGACTATAATGAACCATCTATGTGGACTGAATGGTCAAAACACTGACCATTCAGTTTTATTTTTTAAAACATTGGATACAATTCTGAGGCCCCGCCCATCATGCTGCTTTGATGGATTTAAGTGAATCAGTGAATCTGATGCCAGTGTCCAGGCATATAGTGAGGTTGGTTTGTCTTCTTCGAGATAGCTTTGGAGCCCACTTATTAGTTCGTAGAACCAAATCCACGTACGGTGGTGTGGTTCAATCAAAATAGCAGAGTTTATAGCCATCGCCATCAGAAAGGGGACTGAAGTTGCGTCCTGTCAGGATAATAGGATCATAGTGGAAATTGAGTCTGGCTCAACAGAGTGCGTTCAGGACATTAACTTCTCGGGAAAGTTTTGTGTTGGCTAAGGGCTTCTTGGTCCTCGTCAATATCGTGGCTAACATTGAACAGACGTCGCACAGCACATTCAAACCGTGTATTAGGAAATCTTTTGGTGATGTTTTATCATTTTTTGTATTTATTATCAGGAGATATTTTCAATACACGGCTGAGATGAGTTGTGGGACTTTGTGGGGTGCTCCTTATGGGGGGCTGATGTGAATTCTTGTCTCGGGTCCATTTTAATCACACAAAGGGGTCAGTGAACTCGGTGACCCATGCAGTAGGCGTTTGGCACCGAGCGTTTACAAGCATTCTGTTTTACAAGCTTGCCCCACTCGGAAAAATAAAAAAATAAAAACAGAAACGCTAATTAACTGTGTTTAACCATCCATTTTTCAAATGGAGGTGTTCCTTGAATGGTTAATGATCGCCTTCTTGAAACACTAAGATGATGTGGCATATTAAAATTTGAAAAAACTGACATTTTTTTTTGAGATGTCATATATTGTTATTATGTGTATATTATAATAATAAGCCAAAATGTTTTAAATGTCCAATCAGCCTGGATCTCTATCAAGTTTTTCAAAATAAGATAAAAAAGGTGAAACCAAACACTTGTAAAATGAAGCCTACGGTGCCAAACACCCACGTACTTGCATTCTCAACACCCTTGGATTCGTTCTCATCTAGTGGGTGATACCCTCCATAAGTTGAAATGAAGTTTTGCATTTTACCAAAAAAAATACCATACAACTTGTGGATATGGTTTTCGAACTGTTGTTGACCTGAACGGTCGAACCATTCGGCCTGGGAACTGTCCAGGCAACCGGTTCCGTTTACCCCAAACCCGGTCCCTGGTCAAAAACCGTTGAATCGGTCAATGATCCGTTGATCCAGATGGTCGAACCGTTGATCTGTTCAATGAATTTTGGCCATTTTTTATTTTTTTATTTTTTTAATTTTTGTTGTCAAATTGCGCCATCCATTTGAACCGGACGATCAAACCATCGACCCAAAAACCGATGACCAGAACAGTTTCGTTTCTAGGTCATTTTTTAAAATCATGCTTGTAGGTTAAATTTGAGGGGTCAAAACATGCCACATTTGGCTTAATATTTATATTGTAGGACATGTTATCAAATTAACTATCCAACAAGATTAATATTGGTATCATGTATCATACCGAGAAGCTTATTTATGGATACAATTACGGATATATTTTGAATACACATGAACATACTGAAAAAATATGAATATACTTATAAATCCTAAGCCGACAGTTCAGACTACCGCCTTGTGTAACAAGTGATGTTGGGCAAAACTTAAGACAACAGTCATATAGGACCAAAGCTGCGCAGTTCAAACTGCTGTCTAAAGAAGTTGGCCATTATTGCCAAGATCTAAGGTCGTAGTCAAACACCGCTTTTAATAGTGCTAAGCCAGTGGTTCTAGACCATTGTGTTAATGAAGTTTGAACCGTCTTGGACCGGTCACCAAAGGCAAGGAGTTTGATGGATCGTTGATAAATCCAGTTTATAATTCTCTCTTACCATGAAAACAATTTAGAATAAATAAATTAAATTATTTTTTCTAATATTTGATTATTCCTAAAAATTTATGAAAAAATTCATTTTGACATAAAATTTTCTTTAATCAACGAGTATAATATTGATGGATTCATATCATTGTTCTTTCCTATAATTAAAATCATTTATAACATATAAAAATTGATTTTTTATATACTTTTTTTTATTTTTCCAATTTTTGAAAAAAAAAATCTATAGATCTAACAAGTTTGGACCACCGGTAGGGGTGATAATGGGTTGGGCCAGGCTTCACACCTATGATAAGAATTAAAGTCTAGGCCCCAACTCTAGGCCAAAAATATGATCTCAGCCGTAGGTCTATACAAGGCTAGGCTAGGCAAGGTCCACATTTGGGCCTATAAGATTAGATAATAAAATTTTAAATATTTATTATACTTAATATTATTATGTGAGGTTAATATTGGTATCATGTATCAAGTGAAGCTTAAATACAGATACAATGTTTTTAATCCCAAACTTCACTCCAAGAGGAGGGGTAAGCCACCTTTAAAATAGGATACAAGGGACAACATAGCTAACATTTACCAAGAACCCAAAATACAAGCACTCCCTACACTCCAATACCCCAAACAATTAACCAATATGCATTGTAAGAATAGACAATACAGCCTCAAGAAGACAAAATCTAATATTGCATGGAAAAACAGAACTTGATCAAAAGAATAAGAGGCTTCCTACTCCACATCAATTGTTGAGCTTCCTTTCCTAATCCCATGGGTGTACTGAATATCCAATGCAAGAGCTTCCTCTTCTATATCCTCAAGCCAAGAGAGAATGGACTAAGAGGCTAGAACCTTCTAGCTAATTCAAGATATTGACTAAAAGCATGGAGTCGGTCTCAATTGTGAAAGAGCTAAAACTTAGAAGATTTATCAAACTTTATCGCTTCAAGGATTGCTTTGCATCTCTCCCGAAGAAGATGCTTCAACCAAACTAGCTCATAGGTAGAATGGGCCATTGCCTTGTATTCAGCTTCAATGCTACTCCTAACAACAAGATTTTGGCACAAGAAAGTACAATAACCTATAGTGGACTTCCTGTCCATCGAAGACCCTGCCCAATTGGCAACTGAGTACCCTACTAGAGACATACCTCCCCCTTTCTTGTAGAAGAGCTATCGACTAGGAGCACCCTTTAGATACTTCAACACCTTCATAACACCATCCCAATGGGCAGTTGTTGGATTCTGCTTAAATTGACTAAGGACTCCAACACTAAAGGAGATGTCAGGCCTAGTGATGGTAAGATAGATCAACTTGCCTACTACTCTCTGATACCTTGTAGGGTCTTCTAATGGCTCCCCCTAACTATCAGTCATCTTCATATTGGGATCCATGGGAGTTTCAACTGGCTTGGATCCTAATGACTCAGTTTCATCCAACATATCTAAAACATACTTTCTTTGGGACAGAGAGTTTCCCCACTTCGGTCGAGCTACCTCAATTCCAAGAAAGTACTTCAAGGTTCCTAGATCTTTAGTTTGAAAGTGTTGTTGTATGAACTTTTTCAACTAATCAATTCTATGTGTATCCAGTGAGAACAATATCATCAACATAAATTGCTATAATGATCTTCCCAAATGACGAGTCTCTACAAAACATTGAATGATCATTACTACATTGTTTCAATCCAAAATCTTGCATCACACTACTGAAATGACCGAACCATGCCCGTGG